CGGCCCGCCCCTGCGGCTAGGGCGCCCCTGCTCCGGCCGCGGTCCGCGCCCTCTGGCCGCCAGGTGCGCTGCCAGGTGAGAGGTGAGAGGTGAGCGCCCGCGGGGCCGCCCGGGACGAGGACGAGGACGAGGAGAGCGAAGGCCCTTCTGTCTGGGAAGAGCCCGATCCCTCTTCAGTACCGGGGACCACAGGGCGACGCGTTCTTACGGACCGTGTGGAGAATTAACTGAGCTGGTGTACGGGGACAGCGTGGACTGGCTGCGGGATCCAGGGTTTGCTAAGGAAATAAATACGGTCATCATCCTTCCGCAGAACTTGACAGGCGAGCGAGGAATCGATTAATGCTCTCCAGGCCATGCAAAGCATTTGCTCTGAAACTGATTTAGTTACCTGACTTCTGCTTGCTATTGTTTTTCCTGGTCATTGACTGCTGGGCACAGTAGCCACGCGCTGCGCAAGCCCAGTTCAAAATCCGCCCTCTGACTCTTGGCATATTATAAAGGCTACAAAGATTATTTTGTTACGAAATCGCAATCGCTCCCGTTACTAAACAGTACTAAAAAGGAAAAAAAAAAAAAAAAGGCTCACGTACCTACGTGCATATCAGGCATCCAACAAGAGAAGATAACATTCCTGGCTTATCTAGAGAACTTAAGACGACAAGACAAGTTATCATCTCCTTACTAAGTGCTGTAGTCCACCCCAAGCCTGGTAGTTTGTTAATATAAAGAAGAGGGACTTATTTAGCTCCTGGTTTTGGAGGCACAAGGTCAAGGGGCCACATCTTGTGGACACCTTCTGGTTGGTGGGGTCTCTGCAGAACCCTGGGGCAGTGCAGGACATCCTATGGTGAGGCAGAGCAAGACTGTGCGTGGCTAAATCTGTCTCTGTGTCTCTTACAAAGCTGTAGGAATCAGTAATGGGGGTCCCGCCCTGATGACCTCATCTAAATCCCCATCACCTCTTAAAAGCCCCCACTTTCCAAAACCATGCACAAATTCTCTGTTCTCTCAGCACTGTTACAATGGCTCACAAAGTCTCAACACAAAAATGTTCAGGGGATGCATTCAGACCATAGCTGTAAGAGTTCCCACAAATCCCAAGAAAATCTCTTTTTTGTAAAATTTTGTTGGTTTGGTTTGGTTTGGTTTTGCTACATTGTACATGTGCTTGCTGGAGGGTGAGAGAGAGAAAGACAGACCGCCAGGAGTCAATCACTTCTCCTCCATTCCCCGTTAGGGATTTCAAGAACACAAACATATGTATATGACATTTTTTAAAAAAAAAGAATTATTTATTTTATTTTATTTATTATTCTTTAATTTGACCAGAGAGAGACAGAGAGAGAAAGCAAAGGAGAGTGAGAAAGCAAGCCACCAGGTCCAGGACTCAAACTGTAGTTGACCATGTGGGTGTCTAGTGTCCTAACCACCACGCCACCTGCTGACCCCCATGGCATGTTTTTTAAGCCTCCAGTTCAGGACTTAATTGAGCAATCAGCCATGTGGGATCCAGCCACATTAACCTTCAGGCCACCTGTTGGCCTGAGACTCTCTTCTTTATGGGAGACAATTTGCAACATTGAGAGATTTTATACCCAACCCTTACCACAGCATAAAAGCTGTTACACTTTCTAGAGCTTAAATCAGTGACTTTACAAACAGTCCTCACTAGAGAAACCACGATACTAGAAAACATCCAGCACCTGACGGCTTCACAGGTGTCTTACTGTTAAGAGAGGCTGCACCAGGGAGGGCCTTTATGGCTGGAGCTAAGCACACTTGGATAGGTGACACACGTGTGGATGAGCCGCTGAAGTGACTGGAGCAACCAAGGGACAGGACCACCTGTCCTAACACAGGGCTTCTAACCAGCCAGAATAGCTTGCCAAGAAACCTAGTAACTTCCAACGAATTGGTAGTGCTTTTCATCTTTAATTTTCTAGCCTGCCAGGACCCATGGAGACATCAAAATGGATATTCTGGTAATTTTGTTTCCTTTTTAAAGATTTTTTTTTTTAAGAGGGGAAATAAGGAAACATTGACTTGACAGCTTTTAGAATCCTCTGTGGATAAGTTACTGGCTCATATATGCATACGTAGGGATCAGGTGTATTCAGATAACAAGCATCAAGTGTGACTTTTACAAAGAGTATAAAAACATGACTTTTTTTGGAGAAGTTTTTGCTATAGGGCACAGGCACTTGCCAGAAAGACATAGAGAGACAGAGAGACAGAGAGACAGAATGCAAGAAATCACAACCCGGGGGGATGGCCACACCACAATCCCTTCTCCTCCTTTCTCCTCTTGGCATCTTGGGCACGCACGCACACTATCCGGCGTGAGTTTAGGTCACTGGGTACAGGACTCAAACCATGGTAGACTACAGGGAGTCCAGTGACATAGCCATTATGCCAACTGCTGGTCCCAACTTTTCAAACAAATTAAAACTAATATATCCAAGATGGTCTCTTTATGGAGCTATGCACTTATTTCAATGACAGTGTTATTACATCCCTTTGGGAACTCTTCTTTAAAAAAGTATCTCTAGAGTTCTTAACGCCTTCTGTATTGGCAAATCATCACAGTTTTAGATGTATTGTTTGACAATATTCACTTCATCTATTGCTAACTCTGTAAGAGGAATTTATAGATGATGGACTTAATTAAGAGAGTTGCCTTGGGATGGAACGAAGGGAGAAAGCATGTACCAGTTCCAAGTCTTCCCCTGAGAGGTATCACATGTTTCTGTTCTCAGAAACATCTGACTTCTGCCATGAGAAGATTACATGCCCAACTATTGGGTCATTGGAAAAGTCATGATGCACTTTTGCATAGAAAAACATAGAAAAATATATCTTGACTTTTCCAGCGACCAATTGCCTATCATCACCTGGTGCTAGCTGAATTCACATTTTACAAAGCCATATCAGCCAACCTGCAAACTGCACCACTGTGATGGGGATTGTTTGTTATGTAGCGATAACTGAAAGCTATATGAGTGAACTTTATCATTATTTAGGAAATGGATTAAATAACTAGAAATGAAGTGTGTATTTACTTTCACAACTAGATTGTATTATTTTGGTTAAAAAGCAGTAACTAAAGTGGTAATATTCAATTATATGTATGTTGGTATACTTGGTTCCTTGTAAATTTCAGAAATTGTTTAAGCAGAGGTGTAAGGGAGTAGTTTGCCAAAGCAGTTATCTGGAAGGAGACAGCATGTGTTTGTATATGTACTTGATCAGAAAGAGACACTATATACAAACTCACTATTACATTTTCTTTATTATTTTGTATTTAGATGTCTTTTGATTATAATTTCATATCCTTTGTTGGTTTCATACTGATTTTCATTTCAAAAGCCTCTGCCTGAAACTACTACTCTTCTGTTTTTCTGAATGGTCCCTTTCTTCTTTCCACAATAGAAACTATCTGCATGTGTGAACACTTGCTATCTCTATTCTCTCTGATGTCAAGGATTTTTGCTATTATGTTTGAAGAAAAGACCTTCATTTTCCATTCATGTTTAGGGACATCTTTTGCAGATGAGCAGAATGTGAAGCCAGCTTGATTTTAAAAGGTCGTACATAAGAGCAGGAAAGCTGATCAGGAACGGTGTGGAAAGTTCCGTAATTGCTAGAATAATGAGAAAATCTTTAGGATCTTAAAGTGGGAAGGGATATTGGACAGTTTGACCTCCTCGTTCTAGAGATGTGGAAATGGTGTTCGCTCTGGGTCATGTGTTAAGTTAGTGGTTGGGCTTTGGAAAAACTGAGAACAAGGGGGACAGAACATAACAAAAGAGATAGAAAAACGCCTTCCTTAGAAACAGATCCTCCAACAAGAATCTGAGAGCAAAGTTTATTCAGGAAGAAACTGCAGAAAGCACTGGTAAGGGTGTCAAAGCTCAGCACCCAGATGAGCAGCATCACATCGCTCGGCACTGGTTAGAAGGTGGTGTGGTTAGGGTACTTTATCATTATTTAGGAAATGGATTAAATAACTAGAAATGAAGTGTGTATTTACTTTCACAACTAGATTGTATTATTTTGGTTAAAAAGCAGTAACTAAAGTGGTAATATTCAATTATATGTATGTTGGTATACTTGGTTCCTTGTAAATTTCAGAAATTGTTTAAGCAGAGGTGTAAGGGAGTAGTTTGCCAAAGCAGTTATCTGGAAGGAGACAGCATGTGTTTGTATATGTACTTGATCAGAAAGAGACACTATATACAAACTCACTATTACATTTTCTTTATTATTTTGTATTTAGATGTCTTTTGATTATAATTTCATATCCTTTGTTGGTTTCATACTGATTTTCATTTCAAAAGCCTCTGCCTGAAACTACTACTCTTCTGTTTTTCTGAATGGTCCCTTTCTTCTTTCCACAATAGAAACTATCTGCATGTGTGAACACTTGCTATCTCTATTCTCTCTGATGTCAAGGATTTTTGCTATTATGTTTGAAGAAAAGACCTTCATTTTCCATTCATGTTTAGGGACATCTTTTGCAGATGAGCAGAATGTGAAGCCAGCTTGATTTTAAAAGGTCGTACATAAGAGCAGGAAAGCTGATCAGGAACGGTGTGGAAAGTTCCGTAATTGCTAGAATAATGAGAAAATCTTTAGGATCTTAAAGTGGGAAGGGATATTGGACAGTTTGACCTCCTCGTTCTAGAGATGTGGAAATGGTGTTCGCTCTGGGTCATGTGTTAAGTTAGTGGTTGGGCTTTGGAAAAACTGAGAACAAGGGGGACAGAACATAACAAAAGAGATAGAAAAACGCCTTCCTTAGAAACAGATCCTCCAACAAGAATCTGAGAGCAAAGTTTATTCAGGAAGAAACTGCAGAAAGCACTGGTAAGGGTGTCAAAGCTCAGCACCCAGATGAGCAGCATCACATCGCTCGGCACTCGTTAGAAGGTGGTGTGGTTAGGGTGCTGGACTCCCACACAATCAACCATGGTTCTAATCCTGGAACTGAAAATCATGCCATGCACATGTGTGGCCAAAATCACAGGAGAAGCATGGGGGAGAAGGGATTGTGGCCTGGCCATATTCCCCTCCCCCCGGAGGGGGCGATTTCTGACTTTCCCACTTACTGTCTCTCTCTATTTCTAATGAACACGTGCATCCTAATGCAAAAATCTAAAAATGAAGAAAGCGGGGTGGGAAATGCAGGACCTTGGAGGAGGAAGGAAGGGAGAAACTGCACAGTAGTAAAATGTGAGGGCGTGTCAGCTGACCTACATGACACGAGAACATTCTGTGTTCCCGCGCCTATCTGGGGCTGCCTAAGGCTGGGTGGATCACAGCATCAAGAACCTGTTGAGGTGCTGTCTCTCTCTGTCTCTCTTGTCCTGGAAGAGATAAATACACTTGAAAGAA